AGGGAGGGCCGGGGCTGTCCCTTGCAGCACAGTGGGCGCCGCCCGTCTGAGCCTCCGTCCTGTGTTGCAGCTCAGCAGCCCTGTGGACAGCAGTGACCGCCATGGGTCCGTGCTGCGACTCAGCCGAGCCCTGGGCAACGTGACGGTGGTACAGAAGGGGGAGCAGGACGTGATGTCCGACGGCCAGGAGGGTAAGTGCTGCCCTCCCACGGGCACACCTGCTTGACAGTGTGCCACACTGCATGCGACCTGAAAACACTCTTGTTCACACACGTGCTCACGTGTTCAGCAGAGACTTCTGGTGAGCGTGTCACTGGTGATGTCTCCAGAGCCCACATTTTGCGTCAGTGTTTCCTGGTTTGCCCAGGGCCATGATGGGGTAGAGGGACGTCAGACCAGGACTGGCGGTTAGACCCAGGGTCCCAGGCTTCAGTCTTCGGCCGCAGTTCACATGGTCTGTGGGTAGCAGCCCTGGGCAGGTGTCTGCAACAGCGGACGTCTGAGGGCTCTTGCCTCACCCCGCACTTGGGCTATCTTGCTGCATTTTGTTCTCTTGTGTCAAATTGACCGAGGAGAACCTCGGAGCTGCCACTAGCAGCAGGATCAGGGGCTGAGCGTGGTGAGGCTCAGACAGGTTCAGTGGGAGCTGGGGACAGCATGCAATGTCAGCTCTGTCTCCAAAGACACGTCAGCATGTGCACATGTTCACACACATGTTCACACGGACCTGGAGGCAACGTCCTCATGCCAGCTCTGTCCATGAAGACACATGTCAGCATGTGCAGGAAGGCTCTCTGGTTTCCAGCACGCTTTCTGAAGGGACAAAGTTCCAGTGGGTGAAGGAGTTAGTGCCTGAGATGGCTGGGGGAGGCTGGCATGCTGAATCCTGCTGGCGTGTCCTGTAGGGCAGTGGTCCCCAGCCTTTTCCACACCAGGAACCAACTCTGTGGAAGACTTCCACGGATGGGGTGGGGATAGTTTCCAGATGACGCATCTGCTCACGTTTATTGAGCGCCTTATTGCTACACAGAAATACGTGATGTCATAATTCTCCCGCTCCATAATGCATGCTCAGCTGCTCCCCAGTGCTAGCATCACCACCTCAGCTCCACCTCAGATCTTCAGGCATTAGATTCTCAGGACGTGCAGGTAGATCCTTGCATGCACAGTTCACAGTAGGGTCATGCTGTCAGGAGACTCTGCTGCCCCCTGCTGATCTGACAGGTGGCGATGCAGTGATGGGGAGCAACTGAACACAGGTGAAGCTTCACTCACTTGCCCTCTGCTCCCCAACTGTGCAGCCCCGTTCCTACAGGCCAGGCCGGAACCAGTGCATGGCCCAGGGGTTGGAGACCCTGCTGTAAGGTGACTCGGAAGTGGGAGGTGCAGGGGGCTCGTCATCCTCTGGCCAGCTTGCCTTTGGGGTCTAGAGGGCTAAAGAATGCCCGGGATGTTTGTAGGGTCCCAAGTGCCACCATGTGGGGCATTACTGGGATAACTTAACCTCTGCATGCCGGTTTCTTCTGCTCAGATCTTTGTTAGTGACAGAGAACCCAGACGGCACAGAAGTGCAGCCTCCCGGCTCTGCTCCCAGGAGAGCCTGGTGCTGGCGGGCACTCACACCAGCTTTCGCTCTCTGCAGTGCTCGTGTGCAGCCAGAAGGGCAGCAGCCGCAGGTGTGGTGGGCAAGGAGACCTGCTGTCAGGCTCCCTGGGTGTCCTGGCACACTGGGCACTCCTCGCTGGACCCGAGAAAACGAAGAGGTACGGCCACACCACTGCCCTGCTCTGAACCACCAGATCCCACTCTCTTAGCCTGTCTCAGTGACTCCTATGTTTAAGACATCCCTTGAAGCACCCCACCAGTGAGCCTCCAGTGCTGTGCTGGAAGACGGGGGCAGCGGTCGGCCTGCTCTATGGAAGCTGTCCTACCTGTGCCTGTGCTTGTAACCACGAGTCACCGTGGGTGCTCGCCGTACTGGCGGTTGTCAATGCTCCCCTCTGATTCTGTGCAGTGGAGGTGGAGGTTGCCACCTGGGAGTCAGTGGTGGCCTCTGCCAGACAGTGCTAGGATTGAAAGCAGGCTGACGGGATATTGGCCTTAACACTGTCCTGAAAGCTGGGACCTTTTTTTGGAGAAGTTTTTGTTATAGGGCGCGTGTGCTTGCCAGAAAGATAGAAAGTGAGAAATCACCCCCCAAGGGTGACGGCCACACCACAATCCCTTCTCCATTCTCCTCTCCTCACGTGCCTGGCATGAGATTAAGCCACCGGGTCTGGGACTTGAACTGTGGTCGACTACATGGGAGTTCAGCGACATTGCCATTAAGTCAACTGCTGGTCCCAAAGCTGGGACTTTCTGGAGCCAGAAGGCCCTGGGAGTGCAGGCAGCTCCTGGCCCGTAGGAGCCTCTTGTCATCTGTAAACCCAGCCTAAGGTGGCCTCTGCCAGACAGTGCTAGGATTGAAAGCAGGCTGACGGGATATTGGCCTTAACACTGTCCTGAAAGCTGGGACCTTTTTTTGGAGAAGTTTTTGTTATAGGGCGCGTGTGCTTGCCAGAAAGATAGAAAGTGAGAAATCACCCCCCAAGGGTGACGGCCACACCACAATCCCTTCTCCATTCTCCTCTCCTCACGTGCCTGGCATGAGATTAAGCCACCGGGTCTGGGACTTGAACTGTGGTCGACTACATGGGAGTTCAGCGACATTGCCATTAAGTCAACTGCTGGTCCCAAAGCTGGGACTTTCTGGAGCCAGAAGGCCCTGGGAGTGCAGGCAGCTCCTGGCCCGTAGGAGCCTCTTGTCATCTGTAAACCCAGCCTAATGCCACCACAGCTGCAGGTGCTGGGTGTGGGTGGTGTGGCATCTGGGAGGGATGCCTGTCTCTCACCTGCCTCAGGAGGGACGGTGCTGGGGTGGTGCCATCCCTGCACTGAGCAGCAGACGGGGCCCACTTGGTCGCAGGGACTACCTCCCAAATGCGTGTTTATGGGCGTGCTGCGTGGGGAGGAGCCTTCCTCTAACGTGCGAGGGAGGGGCGGCCACCTTAGTTCTCGTTCCCTTCAGGCAGGCAGCGACGGTGGTAAGTAGTCGCACGGTGGTACGTAGTCGCACGTCCCCGTCTGATGCTGCGCTTGACCCTGGGAGGGCTGGAGGAGCTGCTGCTAGTGAGCCAGGAAGCACTGCCAGAGCCTGGGGGGTGGCCGCGCCGCTCCGCCCTGCCCTACCCCCATCTCCAGGTGGGCGGCGGTTATTGATGGGCCTTGGCAAGAAGTGCCAGCATCGGGGTGGTGACCAGTAAAGCCGCTTCTCCTACAGGGCCTTCTGGCTCACTGCTGCCAGCTGGGGTGAAGCTTACATCTGTCCCCTTCCAGGTCCAGCCCCCTGCTGGTGGCCGCATTCGGCGCCTGTGCGCTCACAAGGCAGTGCAACCACCAGGCGTTCCAGAAGCACGGCCGTGCCACCACCACCACCGACATGGTTGCAGAGCTCGGGGCCGCATTCAGCACACTCTTCGAAGGCTGAGCCGCAGCCTGCCGGGTGAAAAGCACAAGCACGTGGGGTGTCAAGGGTTCGGACAATATGGTAACAATGTAGTCAGAGGCCGGCCCACACTAGATGAATTCCTGAGCTCTTCTGGGCAGTCATGAAGAACCAGTGCACCCAGGAGGAGGACGAGCTCCTGCAGCAGTCTCGCCGGACTCCCACGGGCTCAGCCTGCAAAGGCCTGGCCCGGGCAGGGTGACCCCGTGCTCTCCACCGTGTCCCCCTTCCTGTCCGCTGTCCCTCCCAAAAGAAGCAGTCTTCTACGTCCGAGCGTGAGGTCTGGCCTTGTTTAACTGAGGACCGCCCAAGGGCTTGGCGCTTGTAGGCAGGGTTGTAAGTGGCGATCAGGTTGTTGGTGGCCCTTACCGTACAGCCGTCTCTTGGAATCACCAGGTTAGTCTCCTGGAATCCTTTCAGAGGCACCTGGGGCTGTAGGAATAGGACACCAAGTGCCACACCCGCAGGGCAGGTGGGAGCTAGGGCACTCCCATGGGGCACCCACCGTGCCCATCCGTACGACACCCAGACAGCTCGCTAACAGGCATGACTCAGACACCCTGACTTGGCCACCTTGGGACAGAGGAGACAGGCTTGCTGGGTCTGGCAGGGCACACGCGCTGAGGAGGCCGGAGGGTATCAAAGGTCATTGTCACAGGCTGCTGGACAGCTGTGTGCTCGGGAGTATCCAGCCTGCAGAACTGTCTCAGTAGACGGTGTCTGCTCCATCAGCCTGGGCTGGCTCTTGTTGGGTTGCTCTGCCCACCCTGGGCCCTCGGTGGGGCTTGTACTGCTGCCCAGCATGGTTCGGGGCAGCCTTCTGTAAGGGCCTCTCTCTGTCTTCTCGTCCTTGGAGGTGGCTACTCAGGTGAGGCCCCTGGTTCTACTACCCCCACGCAGGTTTCACTTTAAGTCACCAACTTTCAAGACTAAAAAAGGTCGCCGTTATTTTGTGAAATGTTGGAAGTTTCTCTGAACAGGCAGACTTCCCTAGGGATAAACTGTCTCACTAAAAGGCAGGCCTGGTTTATATGACCACCCGTTCTGCTTTCCTAAGTGAGGGTGCTGTCAGGTGTGGGGAGACCAAGATGTGTTAGCCTAGGGTCAGTTTGGCGGCGACCTGTGCGTGCCAGGTGTGCTTGGGATCCTGGCTGGCTGGGTCACAGCCGGGGCTGCTTGGGGCACTTGTCTCTCATGAAAAAATACACTTGAAAATTTGCTGTAGGGTGTGTGTACTCGCCGGAGTCAGGAGACCCCCACCACGGTCACCCCGCAGTCCCTCCCCATCTCGCCCTTCTGCTGGGGCCTGGGGCACAGGCACACAGCCTGCCACATCTCTAGGAGCCCTGCACCCAGCCGTGTGGGGCCTAGCCGCCTCACCACACCTAGACACCTGTCTACCTGCTGTTCATCACCAGAGCCTTCCAGAATATTCAGAAGGAAGGAATCTGAAGAATGAGCCTGAAGAGCCACTTTTCCATAGAAAGTAAAATGTAACAAAATTACAGGGGACATTTTTAAGGCTTGTTACTGAGCATTTGCACTGAAGAGAACAGTCACCTTCCTGGGCAGTAGGCCTGTGTGGGGACTGATGACAACTGTGTTTACACGTGTGCTTGGTCGCTTCAGCTGGAGACTCTCCAGGAGCTTCCCTGGGACCTGGGTGCAGCAGGGAGCAGCCGGTGGTGTAGGCCCTGGGGACCTCCCTCCCCGAATCTTTGGGTCCTAACCACCCAGTTGCTTCCGCAGTGATGAGAGGCTAGCCTCCTGGAGCACATTAGTTCCAGCAGCGTTGGGGACCCACGTGTCCTGTAAGGACCAAGGGATCACTGCCTGCCCGCCAACCCACTGGGAGCCCTGTCCACTCAGGCTTCCCTGCCCCTCACCCCCTCCCAGTCCTGACCCCTGAACCCCAGACACTGCCAACCACACAGGGCCATGCGGCTGTGACCAGGTGACACTAGCTCTTCCTGTGGTCAGCACGTTTATAATCAGAAAAGGGAGCACAGGTGTGTGTCATACATGTGTGTGTGAGTGCGGGGGCTCCGTGTTTACCACTTGTATGGTATGGGTCACCGCCTGTCCAGGTACTCTGGGAGCAGCTGCAGCTGGCCCAGGCGCCCTCCAGAGCTTCCTGTCCCCTTCCTCAGATGGCCAGCAGCCTCCATCCCCGCTCAGGGCCCAGTCCAGCCCGGCTGCCGGTGCCGTGAGCACAGGCCAAGCGCATGTCCTCTGGGCCCACGGGCAGAAGCATCTGCCCACTGGCCCCTGGACAGTCGCCGGCCATAGCACGTGGCAGGTGCAGCTGTGCACGCCACAGACCGGGCTCTGCGGATGGAATGACGGGTGGCCACGCCAGGGGGTGCCCACGGTGCCGGGGCTGCTGTGTCCTCAGCTCCCAGGTCCGCGGTCTTCTGTCCGTTGACCCAGCAGCTCCCACGTGGACGTTGTGCTGCTTCTGTCCTGCAGAGTGGAATGGGCCACTGAGGGTGATGTCCAGCGTGCTGCCACTGGAGCCCACGGGCCTGGGAGAAGGGCGCACCCAGCCCTCGAGCTGTGGCATCCCTCCACCCAGCAGGGCCCCATGTGTCCTCTATCTAGTGGCCCCCACATCCCCTCTACCTGATAGCCCCAATCCCATCTGCCTTGGTCTACCCCTTCCAATGGGTACCATACCCCTCACCCGACAGAGAACCCTTGTCCCCCGTCCCTCACTGCCCTCCCATGAGGGAGCGCGGACACAGGCAGTGTGACACTGGCTGATGTGCACAGCTCCTTGGGTGACATGAGCTGTACCCGCCTGGGACAGCGTTCACCTTAATGCTGATGCCATGTGCGGCGAGGTCCTGGCGCAGGGTGTCACAGGCCTCCAGTAGGGGCTGCCTCTCCAGGAGCTGCTGTTGCCGGGCCTGGCCGGTGGCCTGCGGTGTGGCCAGCGCATACTGCCGGACCTTCAGCCGGAAGCGCACCAGCTCGTCCATCACACTGTGCAGAGTGGCCGCGCTGCCGTCTCCTGCAACACACTGCACCCCCAAGGCACAAGTCTGTCCCCAGGCAACGGCCGAGAGGCCGAGCCGGCTCAGGATCTGGGCCCAGGCCCCAGCCTCCCCGACCCTGGGACTCTGGCCTCTCTGGGACACAGGACTGAGTGGGGCTGGCAGGCATTCCCGCTGCTACAAAGACGTGAGGCCAAAGTGGGCCCAGACGCCAGCCCGAGAGGTGGTTCTCGCGGGGCCTGGCCTCCAGCTCGGCTCTGGGAGGCCGCTCCCGAAAACTGACACACGGGCTGCCACCGTCACCTCAGACAGGAAGGACTCGGGTGGACAGGCTGACAGCCCAGACGAGCAGTGAGGGAAACCAGTCTAGCGGGCAGCTGGCAGCTCACTGTCCCTCTTGGCGAGCACACGCACCTTATGACAGAAACTTTAGGAAAAATAGAGGCTGCAGAAAGGGGGAGGGGTGGCGGTGTCCTGGAGATGCCCGGCTCACAGCAAAGGGGCCTGGACCCCGGCCCTTCACTTGACATGCTTGAGGTGAGTGCCCTCAGGAAGGGACAGAGCTCCTGTCTGATGGAGCCATGGGCCCCCACGGCACTCCTATGAGACTGTGAGCGTCAACCCAGCCGCACGCGCACAAAGGCCAGCCCAATCCGACTGCGGCCCTCCTTGCAGCCAGCCTGCACGAGGCTAGGCCACGGGGACCCAGGGAGCATCCAGGTGGAAGGAGAACGCAATCTGCTGGTCTCATCATTTCTTTTTAATTTTGCTACAGGACACATGCGCTCAACAGAGTGAGAGCGAGCGCGCACAATCCGCAGGTGTGGGACTCAAACCAGTTGGCCACATGGGGTACAGCACTTTAACCACCACGCCACTCGCCAGCCCTTACACATGGGCGTGCATGCCCAAGATCCCGAGAGGAGAATGGAGAAGGGATTGCGGCGTGACCATCCCCCCTGGGGGTGATTTCTTGCTTTCTGTCTCTATGTCTCTCTCTGTCTGGCGAACGCACGTGCCCTATAGCAAAAATCTCTCCAAAAAAAATTTTTTTTTGCACTGAAGTAAACTTGTACTTTAATTCTATTTTTCCACAAACTTTTTGAAGTTCCCTTGTATTTTTAAGCTCACGAATTTGTCATTATAATTACCTACTAAAATGAGCATTTTAAAAAGAAAAAGCCTGCTATACCAATATGTAGAAAATTCTACAATGAAACACTTAAGAGGATGGAATGCCAGGTGGTGGCCCGGCGGTTAAATGCAAGTCTCTGCGAGGCCATCTCCCACGGAAAGGTTCCCGTTTGAGTCTGGACACTTCCCTGAGTGCGGGGCACGCGGGTGGATCCGCACCAGGACCCTGCCTGCTGGGATGCTGTCTCTCTTGCTCCCGGAGGAAACAAACAAAACCAAGAAAAATCAACGAGGAGCTATACCTGCTGATTCGAAAGGGAAATCCCAACAGTGTCAAAAAACTCTTCAACGTAGGAGACGACCGCACCCAATACGGCAGGGCTTCGGGGACCGGCAGGCGCCTGTAGGAAACGCCCGGTAAGGGCCCCGACCAGCTCTCGGCGTGCGGCCAAACCCGCCATTCCACTTGGCCCGTGTTGACACCAGCCGATTCACTGGTCGGTCAGTAATGGCCAGTGCCTCAGTTTACCTGTCTAAACACAAGTCGACAGCAGTCCCTAACTCGGGCTCTGGGGGGCTGAGTGCAGCAGTGGGGTCCGCACAGCACACAGGCCACTGTGAACAGGAAGCCCGCAAAGAGGGCACATGGCATCGGCCCTGCGTGACCGGTCTTGGTTCCTGAGCACCCCTGGGATCACAGAGGTGGGAGCAGAGAAGTGCAGGTGCTAGTCCCTTCCCAAGCCTCCACCTGTCTGAGCTGAGCTGGGGGGGCCCGGGGAGCCCGGACCAGGGGTGTAGTGAGGGCGGGCCGACTGCCTTGCCACCACGCTCCCAGAGCTCTGAGGGGAGGGGCACTGCCGGCAGCCAGCACGGGGACATGAGGACCAAGAGCGGGAGGCAGTCTGTCCCCTCCTGGTGAGCAGGCCCCGACCTCCATGTGCGTCCCTCCCAGTACCTCGGCCGCGGCCCGCAGCTGTCTGTTCCCATGCTGCACAAGCTCCTGCACGGCATCCAGCGCCCGCGGCGTGTTGAAGTCGTCGGCCAGCGCGGCCCTCACAGCCCCCTTGGTACTGGCGAGCCTGCCAATGAGGAGGACGGTCACCCACAGCAGGGAGCCCACACAGACTCCTCCAGAGGTGCAGAGAGAAGGGCCGGGTTTTACTTGGGCACCCGTCTCGGTCCCGTCTGTATGAGCAGGGAGCAGCTCCGGCCGGCCCGTCATGCAGACGGGGACTCTAATACAGGTCCCCGAACAGCCGGACACGCACACACAGCACAGGCCCCTAGGCGGCCAGTCACAGGTGTGCATGCACAGAACAGGCCTCTGGGTGGCCAGACACGCGCAGCCATCTGTGTGTAAGCACAGTGTGTACACAGGCATCTTTGTACTATGAACACAGAGCACACGTGGGCATCTTCACACATGAACACAGCACGCGTGTAGGCATCTTCGTACATCAACACGGTGCGCATACTCGCACCACCTTCTGCGACCGCCTGTGTTCTCTTCCGTCCCCATCAGACTTCTCGTCCTCCACTGACAGCCCCACGTCCTCGCTCCTCTCCTCCCCATCCCCAGTAAGGGGAGGGCTGGTGCTTGGCCCCCAGAGCCTCCTGTCCTGCTTCCACCTGCTGCCAGCCCGGCCACTGTCTCCTCCCCACGTCCACCCAGCGCGGCACCATCAGGCTGGGTGCCCCCTGCACGGCGCATGCTCCTCCACGCCGTCAGTGCGTGTCCCTGCTGCTCGTTGCCTTCATTCCTGCCCTTTTGGTCGCAGAGGCAAGCACGGGGCCTTGAGGCTGGGTGTGGACTGTGGCCATCCGCTGACGGTGTGGCTGGGGGACAGCAGAAGCCCAGTGTGGGCCCAGCTCCAGCTCCAGCTGTGCAGACACCCCCTTGTCCCCTTCCCAGGAACCTAGAGGAGGCCAGGACGCTTGATGCTCCGAGATGCGAGGGCAGGCACAGGTCCCAGAAAGGCCCAGGCTCGGTGCCCAGCATGTTGCCGTAAGGGAATGCCTCTTCCACCTGCGGCCCTGCTCCCCTCTGCAGGTCAGTGGACTCCCAGCTGCCACTAGGCCTCCAGCCCGTCCAGCGGGAAGCTCTGCTCGGTGCCCACACTCAGCCCGCCTGCCGTGACCGGCAATGATGAACGTGCCTGTAGCCACCTCAGGCAGACAGCCCGGGCCACATCCCCAGAGCCCTCGCCTCCGCAGTCCCCATGGCCCACGCCAGCGCTGCAGCCTGGGCACAGCTGTGTGCAGGGACAAATTCCTCCTCACAGCGTGGACTGAGTCCTGTTACTTCCTGAGGGAGGCCTGGCTTCCAGCACCAACGCCCAGGTCCCCTCTCCTGCCTGACGTGTCCTGGGAGGGCTGCTTCACCCACTTCCCACAAGTCTCCCAGCACAAAGCCATCACAAAGGAACCCAAGTTTCAACAGCAACAAGGCCCATGCCACCTGGCCACGCCGCCACCTGTAGGCCCACGGAGCCGAGGCCAGAGTCCGAGCACCCGCGGCCCGGCACCAGGTCGCCTGCTCACCTCTGCCACAGCACGCCCTCCGCGGCGGCGCCCCCAGCCAGCTGCCCCTTCACGTAGGCACGCGCGTCCTCCACGAAAGCGGCCAGGCCCTGCAGCAGGCGCTGGGCTTCGAGCATGGAGCTGTCGCTGTAGTCGATGGCTGCAGAGGGGGAGACCACCCAATGGGGGAGAGAGGAGGCTGCGACCCTGAGACCACCGTGTGCGGACTGCAGGCCTGTCTGCCATGACCACAGGGTGCCCCACCCCACAGGAGCCCCAAACTGTCTAAGCCCCAAGGAGCTCACCCCACCAATAGCCAGGCGGGCTGAACGGTGGGAGACGCTGCCCCGCGACCGAGCGCATCTCAGGGAGCTGTGCCCACCTGCACAATGGGGTGAGGTCTCCTGGTCAGGAAGGGGGTGGGGTGTCCTCAGACACAAGGCCTGAAAACGAGGTGAAGGAGATGCCCTGGCCTGAACTCGGGCACCCCAGCATACAGCCCCCATGCTGCCAGGTGACCATCCTGAGGCCCAGAGCTCGCCTTCTGGCCTGTGCTGCAGTCCCAGCCCTGCTGGAGGCCCCGGCCCACTCTAGGCGCAAGCGCAGGGTGGTCAGACCCAGCAGACAGCTCACCTGACCTGTAGCTGCTCCGCACACAGAAGAGCCGGAAGACGTCGGGGGAGCAGGAGCGCAGGAAGTCCTGGGGACAGCAGGCAGGTTCAGTGCCTCCGCTTTGCCACTCGGCAGCCGAGCCACGTGAGCCACGCGAGCCACGCAGGCCACATGGCAGCACCATGAGGAGCCACGCCGCCTCCCAGTCTCCCAAGGCCCATTTTACACCAGTTCTGCAATCAGCCCAGGGACCTCTGTGGGGTCTCCGTGACCGACTAAGGGGGGACAAGGCCCAATGCTGCCAGGCGGCCTGGCGACTGGCCAGAACCAAACAGGGAAGGGAGAAGGTTTGAGACCACCGCATGGGCACACATGGAGGGGGGCTTCAGGGAAGGCGGCCAGGTGACCTGCAGGCTCGGGCCACACCTGTGGGCCCTGCTCTGACACGCCCAGGTTCGAGGGCGCCCTCGGTTTACATTCGGCCTCCGGATAAACATGCACCCTCCAGATTAGGAAACACCTGTGCAGGAGAGGGCACTTCCGCCCCGGCCTGGAAGGGCATGTGGAGAGCGCAGGACCGTCAGCGCGCACCACACAACGGCATGGCCCTCAGCGACGCCCTTGGCTGCAGAGGGGATGACGGCAGACACTGGAGCCTTTAGGGGCAGGGCAGGGCGGGTCAGCCCAGCGGCGCGGGAAGCACGTGCGCAGGGAGTCAGGTCCTGCACGCTGACCGCAGACTGAGGGGCACACAGGGCACACACGTGCCCACCGTCCTGGCGGCATGAAGGAACAGAGAAGCGGCTGCTGGGACCAGGCCCTGCTGGGGCGCTCGCGCTCTCTGGAGGATGCACTCGCCTCTGGCAATTCAAAAAGAAAACCTACCAAAGGACAGACTTCCCTGTGCACCAGGAGAACACGGACGCCTGCGCCCCTTTACCCAGCCGGGCCGTCTGTCCTGGGTCTGAAGCTTCCGCGGCCACTGAGGAGTGAGGCTGATGGCCACATACGCCCCACTGGAGTAAACCCGGGCTGACGGGGCAGGCACACGCGACCCCACGGGCTTGGATACCCCTTCCTTCCTCTGCATGGGAACACGTGACCCCACGGGCTCAGATACCCCCTTCCTCTGTGGGGCACACTTGACCCCATAGGGCTCAGATACCCCCTTCCTCTGCAGAGAACACGTGACCCCACGGGTTCAGATACCCCCTTCCTCTGCATGGGAACATGCAACCCCATGGGCTCAGATACCCCTTTCCTCTGCAGGGAACACGCGACCCCATGGGCTCAGATACACCCTTCCTCTGCATGCCCTTCCTCTGCATGCCCTTCCCCTGCATGGGAATAAGCAACCCCGTGGGCTCAGATACCCCCTTCCTCTGCATGGGAACATGTGACCCCATGGGCTCAGATACCCCCTTCCTCTCTGAGGGCCCATTCCAGATCCCTGTGGCCTGCCACTGGCACCAGACATGGGCCACAGCTGGGGCAGGACAGTACCCGTGCCATGAGAATGAGGACAGAGCCTGTCAGACAAACATGTCCTATTCAAGTCACCAGAGCCAGGATTCAAACCGTGGTTGGCCACACGCAAACTGCCTCTTCTCTCTCCAGAACAGGAGAGGACTCCACAGCTTCAGTCTCCTCACACGCTACTGAACCACCCAACCGCAGTTCCCTTCTGGTCAACCTGCCTCGCTCCCCTTCCTCAAACCCCAAGTCCTTGCCGGGTGCTGGCCTTGGCCCAGGGACGAGCAGCCAGGTCCTGGCCGCGGCTCCTCGGTGTGGGTGCCCTCCACATGCACACCTGCGGTGCTCGGGCTGTACTGCGCTCTCTCCCTGGTTAACCTGCCCCGGCCGGTCTGACCACGGGGCCTCGGGAGGAGCGCAGCGCGGGTGCAGGCAACGCCGCTCCTTGCCCACGCAGCACGCAGGCCAGGAGTGCCCTGCTGGATCCGCGGGCTGCCAGTGACTGATTCGGCTTTTCTGTTTGAGCTTTTGCCCAGAATAAAATAGAAACATTCTATTTCAAGAAAAGACTACAGGACCACCCGCGACCTGGTGATTAAGGCAGCCAGGCCCACATGGCCAACCACGTAGTCTGAGTCCTGGACCCAGCCTGAGAAACACGCCAGGTGTACGTGGCCCGAACCCCGCCAGGAGGGAGAGGTGGAGGGCTTGCAGTGCGACGTGCCCCATGGGGTGCTCTGTCCCTCCTCCTCTGACTCTGGGGGTACGCATGCCCTCCAGCCACTTTAAAGAAGAGAACGCGAAAGTCACTTTGTAAGGAGTGCCCTTCGGCTGGTGTTAAACCTGACGAGAACAGCCCTCGTGGCCAGGTACCTAGGCGCGGAGGTCTGGTTGCTACCCTTGGTCGGCTGACTTCTTAGAAAGGCTCTTGCTACGCCCCAGTCCTGCTTCAAGCTGAGTCACTGGGAGTCCAGGAGCGCACCACCATGCCTGGCACTGAGGGTGGGCAGGAAATCGAGCCTGGGCCTCCTGAGTGGCCTCGGCCCGCCAAGTCGCAGAGCAGCATTATCTGGTGCACCTCCCAGCACCGGGCCCTGCTCGGTTTGTTTCTATTAAAATAGAAGAGGCTTTGAAGACAAGCCCAAAACCAAGGAAGGCCTCGATCGAACTGTTGTCCACTCGTTCTCACCCAGTCGGGAACCCCCACTGCATCGTCCCCCCACAGCACGAGGACCTTCCAAAGCGGTAAGGAGCCAGCTCCAGCCATACGGGCGGGGAAGCAGCCAACGCCACGGGGGTGCGTGGGCTGAGAGAGGAGCCGCCATGGGCGGGATAGGGAGAGGGGCAGCTCTGCGCGTTCGAGAG